TTGTAAAATACTCCTGGACCCGCGGGGATTGGTCTTTGAGGTTGAATCTTTATTCTGCGCTTGCTTCCTTCGCGAGACTGCAGAACATGTCTTCAGTGCATCAAGGATATATAGAGATCTAACCATTGGATTGCTTCCAAACCAATTGAATTTTAAAGCTAGTTGTCTTCTTTATATTCACTCCAATTTTAGGGATGATCGGACGGTGAGAAGGTCTCCATCGAATGTAAAACTTCTGACTGCCTGAATTTATCCAAAATGATCTTTTGCTCCAAAATGCACACCTTTTGCTTTAATAACCTGAAAAGAGTCTTAGAACTACAAATACTAGAAAAAAATAATAAAAAAACTTAAAAAAATAAAAACATTTGAAAAGCATTTGAAAAAGATCCACAAAAGTGGTCAAAATACGGTGTTATCAGTTCTTGAGTTACGGCTCTTGCATTTTCAGCAGACTAATGTTGGAGTGGCCTTACTGAATGCTACACCTCCCTTCTCGAAAGTGCCAATAGAACCAGCAAGTAAAACCGCGATTCAGAATGGAGAAGGATCATCAAAGAGGAATATCAAAACCCCAAAACTGCCACTTTACTGCTGCGGAATTTCAGAGACAAAGGTTAAAGAAGATGATGGATGAACTAAACAGTGGTGATGGTGATGGCCGGTCAGCTCCATTAGTCAATCTTGGGGATGCATCAATGGCATCTCCCTTCACAGCCAAACATGCGTCGGTTGCCCCAGTGACAGACATAATCCGACAGGGTCATAGTGCACTTGTGACGACTCTTCAGATGTTCAAAATTCTTGGTCTGAACTGTCTTGCGACAACTTATGTACTTAGTGTTATGCACTAGGACGGTGTGAAGCTTGGCGATGTCCAGACTACAATCAGTGGAGTATTTACATCTGCGTTTTTCCTCTCTCTTTCTCATGCTCCGCTTTAAACCCTCTCTGCAGAGCGACCTCACCCGAGCGTTTTCTCCCTGTACCTCTTTCTCTCTCTGCTTGGGCAGTTTGCTGTTCACATAACCTTCTTGATCTACTCTGTGAAGGAAGCTGAGAAACACATGCCCGAAGAATGCATCGAGCCAGATACAACATTCCATCCTAACCTGGTGAACACGGTGTCGTACATGGTGAGAATGATGCTTCAGGTCGCAACTTTTTCTGTGAACTATATGGTGCATCTCTTTTTTTTTTTTTTGAAAGAATGTCAAATTATATTCACCTCAAAAAAATAGCGTTTTTACATCAAATGCAACGTTTTTTGTTAATAAAACAAAGATAGAATCAGCTAGAAAAATTTATTATCTTGTTTCAAACCAGCGCTGCAAAGCGCCTTCGAGCGTCCTATCTCCCAAATCCCGAACAGATTGAAGCCGATAGCGAACGAACTTATCGATGAGATGAATCGGAGACTGAGCAGGCCGAGGATCTTCCCCATGTCGCCGGTTGTTGCGCTCACGCCATATGCAGTGAACTACAGCTTGGAAAGAATATCGCAGCAAAAACAGAGTTTCCCGATCAAAGTGTGACGCAGAGAGGAGAAGAACAAGGTCTGGCCAGTTAACTGTATATCTGCTATTAAGTAGCTTTTTAGTTAATGCCGACCATACTTCGGCAGAGTAAGAGCAGGAGAAAAAGAGGTGTGACCGAGACTCCATTGGGCTATTGCAGAGCACACATGACGTGTTAACGCCAACATTCCACATCTGCATACGGACACCCGTCGATAGTCAATCATGTATTGCTAGCCAGGTGAACACCGAAAACTTTGGAGTAGAATGCTTAAACCAAACACCTGATGACCATGTGATGTTAACCGATACTTGCCGAGTAAGATGCCAGGTACTCTTCGAGCTAAATGTAGCTTTAAATACCCCATCCTTAGATTTCCACAACGCTACATCACTTTGGGCAGGATTGAGGGCGCTTAGCTGCGAGTGCAACACGTTCTCGATTTCATTAAGAACATCATGCCTGTGTCGACGACGTCTTCTCAAGTGATTCCCATGTCAATGATACCTCTTGGTCCGGTGATATCTATGATTCTTCCCAAGTCTGACCATACATCATACCAGAAGTTCGTGTTTCCACCATCTTGAATGTCCATACGATGAAGAGAACTTGCAAGTTGACGATATTTGAGAATCTTTCTCCACATCCACGATCCAGCCTTTGTATTAACGTCAACAGACCAAAGAGTTCCCTTCCTAATGAGATAAGTCTGAATCCATTTCACCCAAAGCGAGGAATGAGATGAAACAATTCGCCATATCAATTTCAAACAACACACCGTATTGACTTCCTTGAAGGGGCGAAGTCCCAATCCACCCTCGTTTACAGGCCTACAAACATCTTCCCAAGCCATCTTTGCTTTTCTTGGATTAAGCTCAGGCCCAGACCAAAGAAAAGCATAACAAAGCCTGTCAATATCACGAAGACATTCGCGCGGAAGACGAGCTCCAAGCCAGAAGTTTGTGATGCTATGAATCACCGATCTCACCAATTGCAAGCGACCTCCTATCCATAAAGCTCGAGTTGTCCAAGAGCAGATGCGTTTGCGAATATTCTCCAAAAGGGGTTGATAGTCGTTCCGCGTCATCTGTTTGGTAAGCAACGGTAAGCCTAAGTAACGAACCGGTAATCCACCTGACTCAAATTGAAACTTATTGTGAAGTTCAGTGCGAACAGATTCAGAGACTCCCGCAAGATAGATGGTTGATTTTTCCATACTAATTTTAAGAGCAGATATACGCGCAAAGTCATCAAACACCTTAACAATGCCTTCAACTGATCGAACCTTCCCGTCTGTTAGTACCATGATATCATCCGCGAAACTTAGATGCGTGAGTCCTAAGTTTTTGCACTTCGGGTGATAACCTGTTTGTTGGATAGCCGCTGCCTTGTCCAACATTTTAGACAAAACATTCATACTGATCACAAACAGATAAGGCGGTAACGAACAGCCTTGATGTAATCCACGATTACTACGAAAAAAACCCCGCCAGTTCACCATTCACCTGAACAGAGAACGACGCAGTAGTAATACAAAGAGATATCCAGTGAATGAACGCATCTGGAAAGTTCATAGCCTTCAGCGCATTAAGAATGAATGGCCATTGCACTGAGTCAAAAGCTTTCGATATGTCGATCTTAATAGCACACCGAGCAGAGATGGAATCCTTATGGTAATCTTTAACTAGCTCAGTTGCTAACAGCAAATTCTCAATAAGGAGCCGATCTTGAATAAACGCCGATTGGTTCATGGCAATGAACTTAGGAAGAATGCACTTAAGCCGATTAGCTATAATTTTTGAAACAACTTTGTAGATGACGTTACAACACGAGATGGGGCTCTCTTCTGTTCAACTTCTTCGATGTTTCGGTTCTCGAAGAAACTAAAAGCTCTTAAACCAATGATTCGAGCTATGTCAAGGTCGAGAATGGGTAACTTGACTAAGAAGACTAAAGAGGTGTTTAAGACTTTGTGTGAGAAGCAGGAGGCCAATGCGTTCAATCCCTCGATGCAGTTAATGGAAGAGGAAAAAGTTGCTTATCAAAGATGGGATTTCATTTCACGGTTAGAGGAGAAATTTCTGAAACAAAGATCCAAGATCCATTGGCTAATGGTAGGGGATGGAAATAATAAAACTTTTCACAAAGGGGTGACGGCTCGCGAATCCATGAACTCTATAAGAGAAATCAAAAGGCGAGATGGCAATCTGGTATCGAGTAATGAGGAGATTAAGGCGGAAGCAGAGGGTTTCTTCAAAGATTTTCTTCAGCACATTCCCACAGATTTTGAAGAGGTTTCGATGGACACTTTGGCTGACCTTTTGAAGTTTCGATGCTCGGAAGAGGATAGGATCTCTTTAGTGAGTACGGTTACGGAAGAAGAGATTACTAAAGTGTTGTTTGCAATGCCAATAATAAATCTCCGGGTCCTGATGGTTTTAATGCAGAGTTCTATAAGGCTGTGTGGTCTGTGGTGGGAAAGGAGTTCATTATTGCAGTCCAAGCTTTTTTTGAGAAGGGGTTTCTACCCAAAGGAGTGAATTCGACCATATTAGCTTTGATCCCAAAGAGAACTTCTGCTGTAGAGATGAAGGATGGTGCATCTCTTTAACCAGAGTATCAGGGAAAACAAACCGTTCTTCTACGCGCTCATTGCTGGAGCAGGGTTCTTCACCGTCATTGCCTCTGATATTTTCAGGGACCTGAACGATTCCCTAAAGCTGGTTCCTTTACCTGAAGGTATGAGGGATAATAAGCTTCTCTTCTGGCCTTTGCTTATGTTCATCATCTGCTACTCGTGGGAGCGGTTGCTCAGGTGGGCTTTTCCCGGTAAGATTCCTTCCTGGAAGCACAAGCAAAGAAGTGTCACTGCCAATCTGGAGAAGAAGAAGATGCTATAAGAAGAGCCAAACAGGTTAGCCATGCAGATTTTGAGATCTTATTTCGGAAGCTTCAAAGACACGAGCATTTTTCATAGGTTAGACATTTTTGTTTCAGCTTCATAGTTCTGTTAACTTTATAACCTTCTTCACAATTCTTAACGTTTTTTTGTTACTTTCTATAAGAAGAAGCACAGGTCCACGTAATAACTCTAAGTGTTTACATTACTACTCTTTACGATTGTTTCTTTGCTTCTTGGTTCCGCATTATTTCTTTTCAATAAACTGAACACACAACAATATCTGAAACTGTTTTCCAATATTTTTAGATAATTTGTTTCATTAAAGTTTTATAAGATTTCTTTAAAGATACAGTATATATATGGGATGCATTCATGTGTGAAAAGTTTTCTAAATCGGAAAATTGTTCTAACTTCAAAACTAAAAGCAAAATCTCTACAAATGCATCTGAATTACAGTTAAATTCATATATTTAAACTAAAGACATAGCAGCGCATAAACAGCTTCAATCTTTTGTCAGCTACTTCATCAGGTAATTGCTTCTAACTCTTCTTTGTTCTGGCAGATTGTTATCAGGGAAATCTAGCAGTTAGGAATGGTGTAGGGAGATGGTAGAGTAGATGTCTGAAGTAGACTGCTAGTATTATCACATTGAACACCATAGCTTGAAAACATATCTGAAAGGTCTTGAGAAAAGCTAGTATTACCGACCATACAACCATATGGGTCCTGAAAATCAGAACAGAACGCATCTGAAACAGTGTTTGAGAGACAAGGATCTAGAACATTGCTGTTGGTGATATCACTCATACACATGTTTTGATCATAACCATGAAGCTCTTTCTGATTCAACCCGTAGTTATTTGCAAATTGTTGTGACTCCGATGAGTAATCTTGTGTGTGTGAGACGAAAGGAATCTGAAAGTGGTTGCTGCTGGTAATATCACTCATACGCATGTTCTGATCATAATCATTAAGCTCATGCTGCATCAATTGATCCAACCCGTAGTTATTCACAGATTCTTGTACTGTTGAGTAATCTTGTGTGTTGGAGAAGCAAGGATGTTGAAATTTGTTACCCAAAAACATATTCTGATCACAACCATAAAGCTCTTGATTCATCGAGTAATCATCTGTGTAATTGGTGAACTGAGTGGGCCTTTGGTTGAAATTTGATGCAGAAAGTGGGATTTGAGAGAGAGTAGCATCCTCATGGTTATATATAACCAGCGAGAACTGGCTAGGGTTCAAGGATTGGGTCTGCTGATGAACCTGATGGTTCAGAGACATTGGACGGCTTAAACCGTTGTGATCTTCCAAGTTTGTCTTTTTCTGGTTCTGTGCCTCGAGAAAACGAAGCCTTTCTTGCAATTTAGAGTAACTTAGTTCCAAGGACTGAATCAGTTGGGAGATTTGGTCGGGAGAGTAATGATCAGAGATTGGATACTTTAATACATCCCTCTTCGTCTTCTTCGTCAAATTCGTCATCTTTGTCTTGTTCTTCTCGAGGAACCCATAAAGATCGACGCTTTTCTTACGTCTCTTGTCTTCGTCTAACTGACTAAACCTCAGAGAATTCGAACTAAAGCAAATAAAATGCAGATCTAAAGAAACAAGTAAATATCGATTGGTTTGTAAACTATTACTAAAAACGCTAAGCTTTCGGGATCATAATCGATTTCAACACTAGGGATTTTAGATTGAGATTGACGGATATCGAAATATTAGGGTTCTAGAGTTAGAGTTCGATGGTATGACTACGTCACCGTCGTGATCATAACCAACTGTTTTTCACAACCCTGACTTTTAGGTTTTCACTCTGGCCCTGGAGGGGAGAAAACACAAGAGCTGCACAAGACTCGTCAGTACTCACGATTTCGCCACAGGCAGGTTTCCACTCCTACGAAAAAATCGCTTGTTTCATTCTAGGTCGGATACTTAATGAAAACTTTCGCAACACTAAATATCTAGATCAGATACAAGGTGATCAGTCCTAAATGTCTAGAACGCAACTTGGGAAATGCTATCAAATGATATTTTACACCAGCAAAAGAAGATAAGGAAAAACCCAAGTAAGTCATTTTTTCCTCCTAACATGATTTCAAAGTCTTGGATTTGATCCAAATTATTTAATGATAAAACATGTAGTTCTGTTCGTGTTCATCGTTTTAAATGAGCTCAAAAGTTCTGGAGTTCATAAGCTATGGAGACGTGTTTTCAAAGTTCCTATCACCTCATGTTAAATCGTCTTTATAAGCTTTGAATTTCACGAATTTGTTTGTCGTAAAAATCTATAATTGAAGAATTTAACTACTCTAGGCGAATAAAAAAGTCGCTTCCACTTAAACTAATAAGCACCTAATTTTTTGTCACCAATTTGAAATGTGTTTAGAAGTTGCAAAAATTCAAAAACTTGCAAAACTTTGTATCCAGTTTTTAACAAACTCACAATTTTTCTGTTGGAACCTCACAATTTCTACTGCTATCATTTTAACTTTCAGAACTTTCTAACTCTACACAAATAAGTATGTCGTATTCACTTTAAATTGTTTTCTGCTAATTTTTTCTAATTTTATTCGCAGATTTGGTTATGGATGATGAAGAAATTAAAAACTTCACATTATCAAAGATTGAGAAGCTGTTGCTTGCAAGTGGTAATTCTCTATTCAATTTCAACAAGATGTCCTGTCCAGATGACATCAAGATCGACAAATACAAAAATACTCTAATATGTGACGTGAAGAGTTATAATCGAAACAAACTGCGAGAGAAACATATAGAGCTCATGTCGACGATAACTGACGAACAGCTTGGTATTTCCACAGAGATATTAGACGCAGTGAACCGCGATGCTGGTGGAGTCTTTTTCTTCTACGGTTTTAGTGGTACTGGGAAAACTTTCCTCTGGAGTGTTCTAGGGGCTGCTTTGAGATCAAAAGGTTACATAGTTCTAAATGTAACATCTAGTAAGATTGCGTCACTGCTATTGCATGGTAGAACGGCACATTCTAGATTTGGCCTTCCTATAAATGTTAATGACCATATCACATGCTCGATGAAGTCTGGTTCGTATTTGGTGGAATCAATCAAAGAGACTCAACTTATAATATGAAATGAGCCCCCCATGATGAGCAAGTTCTGCTTCGAGACATTGCATAGAAGCATTTGTGATATATTAATGTATCTGGAACCGTTTGGTGGTAAAGTGATTGTTTTTTTTGCGGTGATTTTAGACAGATTTTGCCAGTAATACCAGATGCAACAAGGTCTCAAACCCCGATGACCGCTTTAATTTCATCAGTGCTTTGGCGCAAGTGTAAATTTTTACAACTTACACAAAATATGAGATTGCACTCAGGTCTGACTGATGACGATGCTGTAGATTTTAAAGCATTCTCAAAGTGGATATTGGATACTGGTGACGGGAAAATAAACGAGCCTAATACTGGAGAAGTCGAAATTGTGATACAAGAAGATTTGCTAATTCTTGATTGCGACAATCTTGTACGATCGATTGTTTGGGAGATTTACGATGAATCGGTTTGCCAACAATACGGATGCACAGTTCTTCATAGATAGAGCTATATTAAGTCCTAGGAATATGGATGTGGAGATAATAAACAAATATATGCTATCAAAGTTACCAGGTATTTAACTTTTAAGACAATTTTAATATCATTCATTCGACCAATAAATTTAAATTATGGAGACATATTTTAACAATAATATGGACTTATTCATGAGTGATCTTCACCTTAAACGTTTATATATTCATATTTAAATTAAATAGAGAATGATTATTAAAAACGGTTGTAGAATTAATATTCTGTTATATGTTACTAATGTTTGAAACTGTTTAATATTCAGGTGAAGAAAAAAGATATCTAAATGCAGATAGTATTGAACTTTCAGACATAAGTGATGCTGACGAATGGATGCTATTTATTTAAACAAACAAATTTAACATTTAAATTTTATAAAGAATTGCGATCAAAGAGTAAGGTTAAGGCTGAAAAAACAACTATACCAATACAAACTTTAACTTTTTCTGCTATTGAACACTAGCATACAAGAGTATAACTACGAAAGTATGAAAAAAACGTCAAAATACGAACTATAGATGTAATTTGAAAGCAAACAGAATTATTATAATCATGTCATAGCAGAAATATACTTATAAACTTTATACAAGAAAACAACAACAAAATATCAATAAAAATATATAAAATAATAATTCGTGCCCACACAGGGTGCAGGCCAAATTACTAGTTTTTTGGTAATTAATTTTATCAAATTTGACACTATTTTTTTCTACAAAAACTTAGGTATATATTAGACTACTCTAAGTTCACCTCTAAGCTCGAGCATTATGAACCTTTCATATTGGAAAAAAAAAGTTATTCTATTGAGTATTGAATGAGTATCTTAAATTAACAATAACATATGTCACGATTTCGTGAGCGCACTCAGCTTTGTATAATAAAATACCATTAACATATATATGATTTTTGGTTATTTTAAAAGAATTAGTATTCTATTTTTGAACACCTTTAAAAACACATACATAGATGGTATTTCACCATCTAAAATATAAGATATTTTTGATGAGTTTCTCGACTATTTGAGATATACATTTAATAGAAAAATTTTGTCAATTTTGAGAGACTCATTTGCGATACCATTGATGAAAGTGCTCTAAGAGCATCTTTAACGCTGAAACGCTCAACAGGTTTCTCATTGATTTTTTATTATTAAATTTGAAGAATAACAAAAAAAAAGAAAAAGAATGAGAGAGAAATTGGTGAGAGAAGAAGAAGAAAGAGAAAAGAACAATTTTTTGTCTGACTAATTATAAACTGCCTCATGTGGGAAGAAACAACTAAAAATGTACCCAAATAGAAGACGTCTCGGCCAAATAAGAAATTATGCATCATTTTAAATTAATAAATTTCTGTTAAATACCCTCTAGATACCCCGTTAAAGATGCTCTAAGATCTCATCCTTTATGGGTCAATGTGTTTGTTTTCAGAAGTAATTAGTTTGAATTAGATTAATATGATCCCAAAATCACATTGTTTTTTACTTTTTTTTTGCAATAGATTAGAGACAGAGGTAACATAGTTTCCTAACATAAGATAACCATGAATTATGTGTTGCCATGTTCCTCTCTTTACATGATTGTAGGATTTATAACCCAAATACACTCTGTCTGGATGATTTCTAGTAAAGTACTCAAGTTTAGGGAACGACATCCAAAGGAACTTTCATCGCTTACACAAGACACTAGTGGATACAGCAAGTTTGGTTGGAAGATACGAGAATATCGAACGGTTTGGTCACTTAGATCTTAAATAGGAAGCTGTTGAAGTTTGGTCAAGTCTTAAACCAAACCGATCGGTTTGTAATTTGGTTTCTTCTATAAACGTGAACCGAAAACCCAAACACGGCCAATTTTATAAACTTCTTTACCATCTCAAGTTTACTGCCTAACGAGCAATACAAGACAGAACAAGTAAAAAAAAAGAGAGACAAAGCCAATCCAAAAATCAGATTTAGGGGTTCGTGATTAGGTTTAGACTAGACTATGATCATAAACATATGTAGTCTTAAACAGCTCCATATGATAAAACTAACCACAACAATAAAATAGCTAGAGATCACCAATTAAATACAATGTGGCATTCGGGTGAAGCTAGGGAAGCAAGTACCAGCTTCCGTATCATGTCAAGGGTTTCAAACTCATGATCTTCAGAATAGATTCTTGCGTTCTCTAAGCGATGCGCGTTTTTTAAGACATAAAGGCCCTGTTCGTTTGTCAGCCGCCTGCGGCCGCGGCTGCGACCTGCGGCTAGACGCTGCGACCAGACGCAGATGATTGTTGTTTGTTTGTCAGCCGCGCGTCTGGTTGCTGCGACTGGTCGCAAGTTTGTTCGTTTTGCAGCCGCGCAGTTAAACGCTGCGTCTGATCGCAGGTTACGCATTTTGTTCGTGTCGATTTTTTTTACCAAATTTTTCATTTAAATAAAATTTTAACTATTTATAAATTTGTATATTTACATTTTAATAAAATCATACTTTAAATAGTTTCTAAATTTATATAAAAAAATTAGTTAGCAATTATAGTAATAATTTTTGTAATCAAATCTAATTATACCATTATAATCTGTGATAAAATCATACAATTTACTAAAACAAAAAAAAAAATAAACTAAATCATTAAAATAAAATAAACAAGTCATAAATTAAGTCATTAAATATAACAAAACATACGTAACAATACACCAAATCATAAACGAAACAAAAAAACAAAGTCATAAACTAAAATAATCTAATAAGGTAATCGACTACGGCTACCATATTCAGTTGTGATAGTGTCGCGCAAAGCTTCCATCGCTCTATCACCGGTCGGCTCATAAAGAATATGTCCACCATGATCTTCATCACTGCTACTATCATCAATTTCTTCATCTTCTTCCCTTCTTACATCTTCATCACCATGAGTATGATAATCTTCTTTGTTTTGCCAATGTAGAAAGTCATAATCTTCCTTATCTGTATCACGTATGAAGTTGTGAAACGCCATCGTCGCTGTTACAAGCTTGATCCACTTAATCAAACCATACTTTGGATGTCTACGATCCAAGATCCTCCATTTTGTTTTTCATAGACCAAATGTGCGTTCAATAAATGTTCGCAAACTCGAATGCTTTCGGTTGAACAATTCTCGTGTGCTTGTAGGTGGTCCTCCTTGAGCAAACTGATCAAGATGATATCGCATCTTACGATGTGGACCAAGATACCCTGTCCTCGTGGAATATCCGGAGTCAACTAGATAATACTTTCCATTAGGCGGATGTGGAAAAGATGCTTCATACCTTGCACAATGAGTTAATACCTTTGAATCATGTGCTCTGCCTGGTACACCGACATATGCGTATATGAACTTCATATCGAAGTTGCATATAGCAAGAACATTCATTGTAGGATCTCGCTTTCTACCTCTATATGCCTCTTCATTTCGACTAGGAGGGCGAACCGGGATATGAGTCAGTCATATCATAGGGGTCCGAGGCATACGGATATTTGTGAGGACCGCAGCTACGAAGATCTGTGACCACAAATAAGAGAAGAAGAGCATTTTAGGTATGTTGTTTTCAAAAAATATTGAAGTTAAAAAGACTAGTGAAATCAAGATACGGAAATGAAGTTGGTGGAAATAGCAGATAAATAAATAAATAAAATACCAACCATCTCGGAAATCTGGGCCACCAAGAAACGTTGTCATAAACAAATTCAAACCAAAAAATTATCAGAAAAAGACACTTATAAATTAAATGACTGAATAAATAATTTTTAAAACAAAAAAAAAGAGACAAAAAGAAGTACAGATGGAGGAAGAGCGATTTGAAGTGCTCTGTCTCTTGAAGAAGAGAAGTCTGAGAACGCCGTCACACATGTGGGAGGTGAAGTGGGAGATTGAGCAGCATTTGCAGACGAGCCCTGTAACGACGACGTAGATCCGAGGAGAAGAGTCGTGTTTGTGCTCCTTCGGTGCTTTGGCGACGATACACACTTTTTTCCTCGTCGGATCAATCATAACATTCACGCCGTCTTCTGGAACGCCGGGAAGGTCAATCCGAATGAACATGTCCTCGTTCTCAACCATCTTGAACTCGGTGAATCCTTTTGGCCCTTCTGCCAGAAATTGGTTGTTAATCGCGTAATAAA